TAAATCCATAAATACTGCAGGGGCATTTGTTAATACAAAGGGCATTACTGTGAACTCATAATGACCATAGCGAGTTCTAAATGCTGTCTTTGGAATGTCATTTGCCTTTACCTTCAACTGATGATAGTCCAACCTCAAATCAATTTTGGAAAATACTGTTGCACCATTTAACTGATTAAAGAGATCTTCAATTCGAGGAAGAGGATATTTGTTCTTGATTGTCAATCGGTTCAGTTCCCTATAATCAATATATAATCTCATTGACTCATCCTTCTTCTTCACAAACAAAACCGGTGCGCCCCAAGGAGATGTATTTGGTCGGATGAAACCTTTATCCAACAACTCCTGCAACTGTATCTTTAATTCTTGGAGTTCCTTTGGCGCCATCCTATATTTAGCTCTAGACACTGGAGTTGCACCAGGTACGAGGTCAATTGTAAACTCCAATTGCCTATCTGGTGGCGCGCCAAATAAGCCATCAGGAAATACATCAATGAAATCTCGTACAATCGGCACATTACCAATCGTAATCTCCGATTGTTGTGTTCTATGTATACTCACTAGAAACCCTTGACAAGATCTTTTCTTTAACATCTTTTGTACTTTCATGGCCAACACGAGTCAAGGTAAAGACTTAACTTGTACAGTGAAAAATCAAAACTCATCCTCCCCAGGCCTCTTAAAAACTACTTCCTTTTTGAAATATCGAATGGTTGCGTGATTGCTTCCCAACCAGTCCATTCCTTAAATAACGTCAAAGTCTTTCATGTTTGGGAGGTGTAGATCAGCTACAAATTCTTTTTCTTCCATTACTAATTTTACAGCCCAAGAGATCTGATTGGTATTCAAAATTCTACCGGATGGAATAGAAATTTCTAGAACACTATCATTTTCACATGCAGTACATGATTTAGCAATAAATGCGGTGGAGATAAATGAATGAGTAGCTCTGGAGTCTACAAGAACATATGTAGGTAGTTCAGATACTAATAGAATACTTGCCATTACATTTGGATCCTCTGTTGCCTCTTCCCGGGTTAAAGCAAAGACTTTGGCTTTCACTTTCTTGCCTTGTTCATTATCCTTCTTAGGTAGGTATGCCTTGCAATTCGGAGCAAAATGACCTTCTTGGCCACATCGATAGCACACATTTTTCCCAAAGAAGCACTCCCCTCCATGAGCTTTGTTGCACTTTGGGTATCGTGGAGTAACTTTATTTGGTTTACTTGATCCTAATCCTATATTGGACTTCTTAAATTGTCCAAATCCCTTCCCTTCATTCGATCCATTCCACTTTCGTTTCCCATATAATTCAATATTCTTCTTAGTCATCCGATCCATTTCTAGATGATCAGAAATTGACTACGCTCGTTGAAGCACTTCACTATATGTGGTCATATGGTGAAATGCCATGATTCCTCCAATCTCTGGACGCATGACTAATTTGAACCTCCTAGCCTTCTTTGGCTCAGTATCGACAAGATGGGTAGCATACCTAGAAAGTTGTTCAAACTTCCTTTCATACTCATCAAGCGACATATTTCCTTGTTTCAGCTATAGGAACTCTGCCTCTCTCTGATCCTTCAGTGACCGGGGAAAGTATTTTGTCATTACCTCTTCCTTGAACTGTGCCCAAGTCATAGCACATTGTTGCGCTTCCATTCTAATGCGTGAAGCAGACTCCCACCAGTGGCCTGCTGCTCCGACCAGCATAAACTCGGCACATGATACTTTTTGTGTGTCAGTGCATGCCATGTGTTTATAGATTCATTCTAGCCCTCTTAACCACTCCTCGGCTGCGAAAGGGTCTGCCTTGCCATCAAAAGAAGGAGGTTTGAAACGGCGAAACTACTCCACAATTGAACTTGTGTTGTTAGCATTTGCCGGTCCATTCTAAAGAGTTGGTGCAGGTGCTTGATTCCTACCAAGGTTATGTACTGCCCTTATCAGATCCCCAAACATAGTTGCTTAATCTTGTTGTCCCGTCATTACCTTTAAATTAACAAAAATAAATTTTGTCTTAAGAATATTGGATAACACAGTAGCTCAAAGGAAATTATATATATATATATATATATATATATATATATTTATTTATTTATTTATTTATTTATTTAATAGTACTCCTTGAGATCAGGATATAAAATAGTTCGACAATTTATTTATTTATTTTTTTCCAATAACATAAAGGAAAGATATCACAGTACTAAGGAAATTGAATCTAAGTTTCTAATTCCTATAAATTCTGCGAATCTTCTTTAATGGAGCTTCATCGTCGGAGGAGTCTTCTGCTTCAGGCCCGGACTCTTCGTCTATCTCAACTAGTGGTTCAGGATCATGCTCATAATTGTTCTGTAATGCCCTAAATTCTTTTTCATTATTATTGTTATTTTAAATAAAAATGAAGCTCGAGGTGCTACCAAAACTTTTCTCTATCTAGTTTAAGTGGAAATATATCGAAAATACTTGATTTCAAATTATTGATTTAAAATTTAACATAACCCGTCAAATGCTTGAATCGTAAAACATATTAAATAACATGCATAAAAATTTACGTAAAGTTATTCTTCAAATAAAAATGGACAATTATTCTTTTCTAGGAAATTTACGTGATGACCCCATAATCATCGCTTGGTTAATCTTCCACGGGTCCACTCGACCCGTTCTCATATGAAAATATTATAAGAGTTCGTATTTTTTTGAAAACACTCAATAAGAATACAACATGCAAAGTGGTAAATTCTTATTCTTTGATATTGTATATTTTTAGACTAGCCATAATCGAGTTATTTTAATAGAAAGAAAAGTATTCTAAATTCTATATATTGTTAATATAATAATAGTAATTACATATGTAATATAAAATGATAAATTGAAACGTCAATTGTCTTCCTTGGAATTTGAAACGCCAATTCATTCATTATTTATTAAAAAAAAATTACAAAAATTAAAAATTAAAATAAAATTCATTCAATTAGCATTTGTAACTCACTCAACCGTCCATGAGTGATTTGAAACCTCCCTCATTATTAACTTGAAATTTAATTAGTCTATTAAGTCTCTTTTACACTTTTTGTCTAAACATACCAATTTATATATAGATACATATGAGAGAAACTTTTCTTTACCCACCTAAAACATTGGCATTTCACGTCTAAACCCGTTCATACTTTTGAAAAAGAGAAGCAATTTATTTCACAAATCATTTCAGAATTTTTTTTATATCATTGAGATAAGAATACATGGTGCAAGTGGTAAATTCTTATCCTTGATATTTATTTAAATTTGGTATGAAATACTATAAGGCCTTCGGGTCGAATTATATGTTAAATCCTTCGGGATGGACTGTCAGGTCAAAGAAAATAAGTTAAATCATACGGGATGGACCTTTGGGTCAATATGATTAAATCCTATGGAATATGGGGATTCTTAAAAAATTTCTTGAGCTGTTGGAATCACGACCAATTTGCTCTAAATTTAAGATATGTCGGTATGTTATGCCATGTTATGTTTATATCATGTTATAAGAATATGCACGTATTTTTACTGAGTATTTTCAAAATACTCACTCTTACAATACTTTTTAGATTAGAAAGGATCGTGTGGACGAGTGGAAGATTAATCGGCGATGCTTATGGGGGGGCCATCAAGTAAAGTTTCTAGAAAAATAATCGTCAAATTCTATTTAAAAGAATATCATTATTTTAATTTTATGCATGGTATTTAATATTTTCTTAGAGTACGAGCATTCGACACTTTATGTTGAATTTTAATTTACAGTTTGAGATGGGATATTTCAAGATTTTATTTTAAATCATTATTTTGTCGTTATTAAATTGTTGACCACATTTTGATCATTAAAATAAAAAGTTATATTTTTGCTTAAATTAGATAAAAAAAAAAAAGAAGGGTTTTGGTAACACCTCGACTGTCACCAAACACGCGTCCACACGACCCGTTCTCATCTGAAAATATTGTAAGAGTGAGCATTTTTTAAAACACTCAGTAAGAATATGTACACATTCTTATTCACATGATATAAATATAAAACTGATATAACATACCAACATTTCTTAGATTTAGAGCTCAAGGAATTTCTTAAAAATTCCCATATCCCGTAGGATTTAACATCTTTTTTTTGACCTGACGATCCATCCGAAGGATTTAACTTCTTTGCATTCGACCCAAAGGCCTTATAGTATCTCATGCCAGAATTTACATACATATCAAGAAATAAGAATTTACCACTTGCACCATGTATTCTTACCTCAACTGTCACCAAAATTTTAAAATTGTGACTTGAATTGATGGTATAAAAACAAGGAAACGGATTTTTGTATGAAAATGAACTTATACATTTCTTGAGACAAAACACGTTCATCTTGAAACCTATATTTATAATTTTAAAATGTAACTCCCAATCTAATCAAAGGACTTTAGTTTTAAAATAATTCAATTAAAATGTTTTTGGAGATAAATTAAAAATTTATGAGTTTAGTAAACTTAATTGTCATTATAAACATCATTAGTTATATTAAATTCTAATATGACCTTTAATTTTCCAAGGTAACTGTATTCCATACCCATTTTTTTTTTTTGAAATATTATAAAATATACTTTCTTTCTTATTAAAAAAAAA